GAGTTAACTTGAAATTGATGTACGTACAATTGCCGAGAAGCTAGCTAACTTTATCAGACACTCAATTGTTGGACCGTTGAAGTAAAATAATATTTTCATAAAACCACTAATATCCAATGAAAATGCAGTAATATTTTCGGAACGATACTAACTTCCGTTGAGAATTCACTGAAGTTCGAAATTTATAACTGTTCCTGGTCAAATGTCGTATATTTTCCGGTCGATAAGGGTTAGCAAAATCACGTTTTATAGCGTACACGGTTATAACAGGTTTCTAGCAGACTTATATATGCTCTCTTTTTTGGCCTTGGTCTTTTTATAATATTTTCTCGAAAGTTCGGACAACAATACTGGACTATATCTAACCAGTTACGGAAGTGGATATATTGTCGATTGTTGCGTTCACGAATATTGTACAACCTTGTAGAATTGGCGGGAGTTTTGCCATACGTAACTAACACGGTAAGCTAAACACGTTTTTACATATAAAATTAATCCCAAGAAACAACAAATTCGTTACAAGATGAACACCTTATCGCATATAAAGGATCGTTTAAAGTCTGAAAATTGGTAGTTACAGTGGTCTTAATGGGTGGTATTTGGGAGTTATGCTAGTTAGTCTAGATAACTTGGTTGGACTTTTATAACTATACTAGTGTAATTTATTTACTGTACTATTAATTAAGTTAATTACTACTTTACTACTATAATGGGAGCTGGAATGGCAACCTGTTTATCATACTTACCCCCAAATGGTAGTACCTTATTTCGTTTTTCTTTTCTTTTCATTTACTTCAGAGAACAGTCACCTTCCCACAACTGTCTGCAGGCAGTGAAGGGTGATATAGATGTGGGACATTGTGGGCTTTAGCACCCACATCTCGCCCTTCTAACTTGTATTTCTCTTGATGATTTTATTAGATTTTTGTTATGAATTTTTTCATGTGAGATTGGCGAAGGGAGGTTAAGACTGATAAACGGTGCATCTCCACAGCAATGTGGGTCCTACTTTTTCAGTCACCTCCAAAATCCAGGGCACATTTTATAATCCACATTATAGCCTGTACCTTGGTAATCCTTTTAATTTATGCAGCATCTTTAATTTAATTTTGTATTTGTTGTCTTTCAAAATTTGTAGTGCATACTGGAGGGATTTACACATTTTGATAAAAAAGTTGAGAAAAAAAACAACAACTTTACTTTCCATATATATATATATATATAATATTTATTTAATTCAGCCAATGTATCACAAAGACAAAACGTTGGTTAAATATTTTTTTTAATATATGTCTTGGGCTTGTTTTGTTCATTTAAATGTCATTTATCACAGGTTTGGATTTGTTGTTTTTAACGCAGTTCTTACTTTTGATTTTATTTTGCTTGGCTGTTTAAGTATTAATTTTCTATCTATATATAAAAGCCAGTTGTATCGAGAGATGTAATTTTGTTGAACTTTCAATGAGACATGGATGCACTTGAACAACTGCGACAAGATATTGGCAACTTCTTATCAATACTGTACAATAAAACTTTCTGCTCTTCTCAGGTACCTTGATAACCTTGCTGTTAAGAACCACAATAGTAGGAGGAACTGCATAATATGTTATGCAGGGTTAAATCTGAATTTCCAATTTTGGCCGAGTTGAAAAAAAGAGGTTGAAATGTAAAAACAAAACAAATTGAAAGTCCGTAGTTGTTTACAAATAGCACAAATATAATCATGTGTGCACTGCTGGTAGACATCACAGTGGAAAGCTCCCAGTATCAGAAGTAGATCTAATTAGAGCTGTAGAAAATTTGAATGAGACTAAAACGTTGACATTTGTATAGAGAAAGTGATAGTGTTATATCGTAAGGTGCACACAGCTATGTAAAAATGTTTGAAAATGTTAGGTGAGAATGGTACAGAGAATGACAATGATCTTATTTTGTCAGGTTTCATGATTATCACAGGTTGCCTTAAGATAGTTAATCGTACGTTATAAAGCCGAACACGGCTCAGTGGTTGACGTGCTGGACTGTGGATCCGAGGTTCTGTGGTTCGTGTCAAGTTACTTCCTTAAAATAAAATAAAAAATCACGCCCTACATTTCCGGGCTGTAGGGATATGATAAGAGTGACTGGCAAATCTCATTATACGATTAGAGTAGCACACAATTTGATGGAGGAGGGGTGTTGACTAACTGCTTTTCATCTAGACTATCATTTCAAAATTAGGGAAGGCAGGCGCAGAAGCCCTCGAGTAGCTTTGTGCGTAATTCAATAAAGAACAACACAGACGTTATAGCGATGATTTATATAATATATAACAGTGAGTCTTGCCACAGATCGCGGGTTCGACTCCCCGTCCCACCAAACATTCTCGCCCTTTCAGCTGTGGGGGCGTTATAATGTTGCGGTCAATCCCACTATTCGTTGGTAAAAGAGTTAGCGGTGGGTGGTGATGACTAGCTGCTTTCCTTCTAGTCTTACACTGCTAAATTAGGGACGGCTAGCACCGGTAGCCTTCGTGTAACTTTGCGCGAAATTCACACTGAATATTCAAGACTATTCGAGGTGCATTGTTGCCGTGCACAGACTTATCGTTGTAGACTCCTGAGGTGATATACCTTCCCGAAGAAGAGAGACTGACGTTCACTACAGGTTTGGAAAAACACGCTGGATTGTAAGGATAAGCGAGAAGAACAAATATCTAAGGAACTTGTTGAAAAAGAAAACAGAAACGCTACTTTTTAAACAACTCTACTCAGTAGCTCCCAATCTAGGTTTCTCTAGTTATGGCCTTCCTAAAGTATCTAAAAGCTACCAACTATGTCTTTGCACTACATTACTTCTTAGTTAAATAATCTTGCAAGATTTATAAAATATTCGAGAATTAAATACCTCTGCGAGTTTGTTCCAACTAAACTTTTTTTTTTTAAACATCTGCCCCATTCTGTATTTATTTAGCCTTTTGGTTAGAGCAGGTCGCGATATTGAAATCCCTAGCCGAAATGATCGTCCTTTCAACCGCGGGGGCGTTATAATGTGACATTCAATCCCACTATTCGTTGGTAAAAGAGTAGCCCAATACTTAGTAGTGGGTGGTGTTGACTAGCAAGCAACCTTCCCTCTAATCTATCACTTCACAAGTATAGATGGGTAGCTTTGCGCGAATCTAAGCAAACAAATTGTATTTATGTATTTTGTGTACTTTTTGTAAACTTTTATCATTGCATTTGTTGTTCTTGGTTTTTTCTCTCTTGCTTTTGTTTTAACTTTATGCAAAATGCGCTTATTCCAAAACATCCCAATGTAAATATAGTTGGTATTCCTGTGCAAATAAACATGATATTAATCGTATGTGTGGTCTTTCTATTTCTGATCAAATTAATATTTCTGTCCCATCAATTTATTTTTTATCTGGCAGATGACTAATTATAAATCAAATATCACTGATTCCACAATCATGGTTATTCCCATAGGAATAAAACTATTCAAAGTAACAGTACAATATTGTTTTTCGTATTTTGTTTGAGTTAATTTTAAGCCATTTTGTTAATAGAATGGACAAGATGATTGGAAGTTATATATATATATATATATGTGTGTGTGTGTGTGTGTTTATGGAGCCACGATACATTTAACATATGTAGATTAGGTTTGAAGAATCTTCATACAAAAACAATCGCAGCGTCAGATGAGCCTATCTTAGTTAACTGAAAGTTTAGATAACTTATCATTTTGATACGTAGATGCCACTTGTTTTACGTGATATGTGGCTACTGTTGTTTACTAAAAGTAACTACAATTTCTACCTTGAAATATAAGTTAGACGTGTGCTTTAAAAATAATTTGGAATTATATCTGAATATTATTCGTCGTTCGGAAGACCCCAAGTAAATGATAAAGTATGATAATTACACACAGGATAAAATGTAGTAAGTGGTTTCTCTAGCTTACATAATAGATTAAATTTCATCAAGGTTACACCACCTGTGTACAAAATATCATAACCTCATTCATTTGTTGCTACTCAACCTTTGTTATAGCTTTAAAAACTACCACTCGAAATGCCGATAGTAGAACAAAAGAAATGCGTCGTAGTACTTTATACATACACAGTTGTGTAGACAAGATAACTTGGAATTATTAAGCTGAATCCTCTTTAAATTATGAAGATATAGTAGTTTTATTTAGCAGGCCATTTTCATTCAATAAATGTTCTTAACAATATAAACCTTATACCAATCATTCTCGAGTGTACGTTATAATATGTAATTTACTGTTGATATAACATTATAAAATGGTTGCTAGAAAATCCTTTTAGCATCAGAAAAAGTACAATTTATAAACTTTGGCTTAAGTATGAAAATATATTTATCTTATTTTTAATTTAAAAAGCCCTAAATTAAAATGCTGATACAGTAAGCAAGAAGAAAAAAAAAGAAGTTGATCTACCACAAATTATTAAAGAACATCAATGCTGAAATCAAAGCCAAGATCTGGAAGAAAGTTAATGGATAGTAGTTTCTTCCTTCATTGAGCATGCTCTTAACGTTTTCCCAGGAGCCATTATTTGGAAGTGGTTTGATATTTAGTAGGTGACACAGCAGGTTATAATGATCCACCATATGTATTGGTCCTGATTTATAACCTTTCTTTAAAGCTGAAATCAAAACAGTTATTCAAGACAAGTCATAAATCAGGTAGTCATTTGTGAAATGTCTGCAGACAAAAAAAAAATTGTTTCCTATGGTAACATTGTAAAATCGAGAAACAACAAAAGAAGTTATAAGAAAAAGATTCAAATACAGTCATTTTATTATCACTAAGTGTTTTTCATTTATCAAGTAATAGGATAAAAAAAAATAAGTGGGGGTTCGAACTGTGAATAATATAATAACAAACTTATTGGCACTCTGTCCGCCACGAGAATCGATTACAAAATCTAACGCCATGAATGAAATCTTCAATAATATCGATGAGCTAAAAGTGCAAATTAACAAAATAATTAAGATTAAAGTTTGGATTAGTATATAAGATGCAAGTTTTGAATAATTATTCTAGGTTTTCCTCTTGTTTTATGAGTACTCGGAGCGAAACGTAAGTGATCTATACCACATAACAAGTGAACCAAACTAATTATTTCCTCCCAGTGGCTAAGCGATAAGTTCCAGGGCTTATAACGCTAACATTTAAAGTTCGATCTCTGTGGTTGACATAGCGCATGTAGTCCATTATGCAACTTTTTGCTTTAAAGTAAACAAACTAATTTATATATTGTTAATAACTATTATGCTACCCACATTATCGTGTTGTCAGTGTTATGGTGGAGGAAAAATACGATTATTCAGTGACTCTTAATTCCTCAAAATATGACAGCTCCAGCAAATTCCCTACTAATTATCATTATTAAAACAAATGCGTAGATTGATTGTTAAATTTGGTAATTGTACTTTCATTCTGTTTATTTTTTTAAGTAAAAAATAGTTTGTGTAAGAATAATTCGCCCTCAATTTATTTTGGTTGATCATATTTGAGCACAAGTCTAAACAATGGGCTATACTTGCTGTTCCCACCGCGGGTATTGAATCCTGATTTTTAGTGCTATAAGCCCTCAAGTTTACCGTTAAGCCATTGGGGGTTTCACTCTCAGACTTCTTAATAGATTTTTTGTTTTAATATGATCATTGTGGTGTAACTAAAATTAAAACATTATCTTTTTAACCTCCTCCATTTCAGCCTCCCGATGGGTCAGTGGTAAGTTTATAGATTTATAATGCTGAAATCTGGGGTTCAGTTCCACATTGGACAAAGCGCTGATAGACTGTGGTTTAGTTTAGCGCTAACAAACAACAAAACAATTTTTCTTAACAAATTTGTCAAATATGAAGTACATTCACCCAAAAATCAAAAGCATCAACTCCCATAGGTACCTTGTCTTCACAAAAGATACAAAAATATCACTATAATCTAGATATAATGTTACAAAATACTGCCAAGTTTTTCGTTGTGATGTGTGTGTAATCTAAATGGTTATTCATAATGTTTCCTTGCACATTTTTACAACAACAACAACAAGAAAATACTATATTCCACTAATTCATATATACATGTTTCAATTTACGCAATTTTTCAAATATTTTAATAACATTTTAGACTTACCTGGTCCTCTGGCAAAAAAAATGGTTCGCATGTCTTTAGTCTTATCTGGATCGTAGCCATGGCTACCAAGATAGATTTTTGAAGAGATTGGTATGCTTCTATTTTTGTCTTCAAGCTGATAGACGGAGATCAAGTTGATGAAGAAAAAAGCGATTCAAGTTCATAAGAAATAAAACCAGTCCTTAAGCATGAACAAAAACATGAACTTATTAAGTATTGTGTTTAATAGATAAAAGATAAACGAGACTGAAACATTAAATCATAAATCGAGCTATCTACCAAACTCTTATAGGATAATTTTATCGGGGTTTAACGAAAGGTAAAATGCGTAACTTGTGTAAACGTGTCTGTTATTCACTGTGCACTTGACAAGACAGGAATGTTAACATCCGCGTATCTTGTTTGTGTCTTAGTTACTTTTTTCGTAATACACGTTGAAGTCTCTAGAATAACTAATATGTATATGATAGTGGAAAAATAATCACGAAACAATGAGTTACTTCGCAATAAAATATGCGAGTTGAAGTTACCCGCTGGATATATTTGTTGGACTCGCAATTTGTGGGTTTAAATCCCCCTCACCGAACATACTCGCCCTAAAAATCACGGGGGCGTTATAACGTGACAGTTATTCCTGCATTTCGTTTGTAAAGAGTAGCCCAATAGTGGGTGTTGTTGACTAGTTGCATTCCATCTAGTCTATCACATCAAAATTAGGGACAGCTAGCGCAGATAGCTCTCAAATAATTTTGGGTGAAATTCAGCAAAACAAACAAAACCTATAAATATTTATTGTCTGTATCTTTTTCTTTCATAAGAAATAATTTTCTCAGAGTAAGCCTCGTTCCTCTATTATGATCCAGTGAAATTAGTAAAGGTATATCAAGGTTGTGTTTTATCTTATCTGGCCCCTATCTATTTAGCTGGTGAAATATTATCTTTACTTAGACTCTAACAACAAATATAAAAAAAAGACTAACCTTACAAATCGTTAACAAAGTAGCTTTCACACACATACATATAAAAAACAACAGTGAAAATGTCCTTTAACATTTTAAAAAAGCACAATTTTAACTAATAGGTCTGATAACAGGCATTACGCCTTTTCTATAACATTAAAATAATATGGGCTACTTGAAAATGTGTTGTCTGTAAAAGATAATTCATTTAGTGACTTGTAATTTCATATTATCAGTCACTAAGAGTAGTGTCCTAATCCCAGTTTTCACGTTATTAATTTTTTGTAACGCTTGGTAAATAATATTGATTATACTAAAGATTACAAGAAGCTCGATTTAACGACCTAAATGCTACTTCATTCTATTACTACTGTCAAAAAGGGACAGCGATGAGGAAATAATGCAACAATAATTTACAAAGCTCTTGCAGATCCTCCTTCACATAACCAGCGCAGAGAACATTAAATATAAATCTTCTAATTTTCATTTCCTTTAGGGTCCATACCCTAATTTGTTTTTAAAGGTTTTTTCGATGTATTTGCTCTGCTGTACATGGTTATGTCACAGCAAGTATACCGCGACTAGAATTTATTGGGGGGCATAAACCTCAAGAAAAATAAAATATGGGGTTTATGTATGAGTCTAATGAATTATGTCATTAGAGAATATATGTAAAACGTTCAAGGCACGAGCTACCTAAACTCTCATTTCAAAAATTATGAATCTACAAAAAAATGAGCACGACCTAGGCGATAAGTCAAATGGTTTACAGGTACGCTATTAAACTGAAGATATACTTATAACTGAGGAAACCACATAGTATTGAAAGTATTATGGTTTTGATGATATTTTAGAACCGCCGACATAAACGTAAAAATGTTGCTTATGCAAATAATAGTATTTTTAAACTTCAACAAAAAGGAGTTTATCTCTTTGTTTCTGTGTGCTTCTGCTGGTTAAACTGGGATTTTGAAGGAGTGGAACTCCTCTTCATGATAAACTCTGGAGTGACAACAGACTCAGAATACACACACACACACACACACACATGTATATAGAGCTTTGGACAGAAGCGTTGAGTACCTACTAAAGCTTTGTATGAGATCCACATTTCTATATTAATATATGAGGAAAAACTTCCATGTTTGCGTGTAGCATTAAAACATTAATACTTTACTGTCGTTGTTCTCTAATGTTTTCTCCTTTCAATTAGAGGATCAGGACCATTAATGACCCAATTCAACTCCTGTGTTCTTCATATTCGCTAAAACACTAGTATAATTGAAGCTTAAAGATGACGATCAACGTACTGTTACTAGTGTTAGCACATCTGTTTGACATTACGTTTAAAGAAGTGTTCTACCAATAACGGGAAAATAAAATTAATGAATCTAAATAGTCACAATATAAGTCAATGATCACAATCTGTATCACTGAATACCACAAGTGCTATTCTTACTTACTCCAATTATGTAATATCCAGGATCCGCCATCAGAACAATGGGTGTTGTCAAACTGTTGCCTTTTATATGGTACTTTTCTGGAAGGTCTTCTTTTTTGTACACTTGTAATCCTGTGATATTACCTTTTGACAGGTCTTCATATAGCTAAAAAAAATGTGAAAACTATTTTAAGAAACAGAAATAAAAGTTTACAATTGTTTTGACTGGCGGAAAATGGAATGATTTACCCTTAACTTTCACCAGTCCTTCCTGCTGGCGTAATAACACATGTTCGTATATATATGTGTGTGTGTGTGTGTTACTGTACATTAGTGGTGGAAACCCGCAGGCTCCTAGGATTAAACCCAAGACCACTCCGCATAATATGTTTCACATATATAGGTAGTTTGTCTAAATTTATTATCTAAAACTCCTAAAGAGGTTTTGTGGCTACTGAGGTTGTTTCAGGGCCGCACTCTTGGCTCGTGAATTAGTTGAGATTGGCCATTACTCTTGTACAGCATTCAAATTCGATGACGAGGAACCTACTTTGAGACTAATAATGCTTGGAGACGGCTTGAATGAGTAATGAAGAAAAACGTTAATATAAGTTTAACATAACAGCAAATGTACACCGTTTCGACAAGGTTTTGTCATCATCAGGTACAAGTAGTATACACTAACACAGACACACATATATATATACAGTATTAAACAAAGAGGTCACATGACCGGATACTATTGCAAAACTTATAAGAAGTATCTTGGCACCCCAGGGTGTTGGTTTAGAGCAGGGTTTTTTTGTTCAATTAAAATGGATTCCTTGATTTTTCGTTTGTTTATGTTTGGTTCTTTGTTTAAAATGACAATTCAGAATACATCGACAAAATGAACGACATCCTTTCCGATAAAAAGAAATTCAAACCCATCCCAAACAATCCAACAAACACACACGAAAAACAACTAAACAGAACTCTTTGTGACCTCTTTGTTCAGTACTGTATATATATATGTCTGTGTCAGTGTAAACTATTTGTACCTGATGATGACAAAACCTTGTCGAAACGGTGTACATTTGCTGTTATGTTAAACTTATATTAACGTTTTTCTTCATTACTCATTCAAGCCGTCTCCAAGCATTATTAGTCTCAAAGTGGGTTCTTCGTCATCGAATTTGAATTCATCACGGCGATTAATCGAGGTTGTGTAAGTCTAAACGTTTATCTTTGTTATTCCATGTATACCTTTTTAAGTATGTTCTCTCACCTATCCACTATCATAAACCAATCATACCGTGAAACTATCTTTAAACTT